TGAGGAGGTAGAAAAAGAAGAAGAAGAAGAAGAAGAAGCGGCGGACGGCTATGGCTAACGGGCGAGGAGAGTGACCACGGAGAAGAAGAAGAAGAAGAAACAAACCTGGGGGAGTGATGGAGTGGCTCGTCGGCGGGGGGCGTGATGGCGTGGCTGGCTGGCGGAGGCGACGAGGGCGCGGGTGGCTGGCGGAGGCGACGATGGCGATGATGCACCCCGCGGAGACCTACCTACGATGGCGCGGCTGGCTGTCCGAGGCGATGACGGAGCGGCTGCACWGACTGGAGGTGAGCRGGGTCGAATGCYCGATGCGTCGTTTTCCCCCGCTGCGCGATTCGGTTTTCCGCCAGAAGTGATTCAAAACAGTGGCCAATCTTTGCCGCTGATCTGCAGCGATCCGCGGTAAAGATTGGCCACTTTTTGCACTTCGAAAATCGGGGCCTGCAGGACCCAGTTTCCTAATTGTGGGTCAGGGCCCGCCCCCACGAGACCTCCGCAACACAATCGCGCCGCCAAAAAAAAATTTCAAGCCCCAGCGAAAATGTGCTGGGGGCAACTGGGAGGGAACCAGCCCGGGCCACCGGCCGGTCCAACCGGGAGGACCGCGGATGAGGTAGGGGTCCCCGGTCCATCCAGGGACCGGCCGTGCTTCCATAATCAACTGCTTTTTTTTCTCTTTTTTTTTTAAGAAATAAAAACGGAGCAGTTCTCGATGTATGCGTGGCTAATCTTTTCTGTGTCGTTCCAATTTTAACGGATGTCCTGAAGCACACTTCCATTGTTTTTTTTACGCCGTTCAAAAACAATGATTCAGCAACTTATGCACAACACATTGTCCAGTCTGGCTGAACCTGCAACACAACACAAGAGCTTACTCTTCCTTCTCCCCCTTTCTTTCCTTTTTTTCTTTCTTTCTTTCTTTCTTTCTTAAAGGACGCCGGACTTGGGATATCATCATTGAGCTGACTGGCCCCAGGTAATTCAGGATGATTTTATTCCGGTGGCCAGATTGTATCTTTTTTTTTTTTTTTTTTTTTGAACGGGCCCAGTGCCCAAGGCTGATATTACCAATAAGAGGAATGAGGCTGGGGTCCTCACAATCTGCCCGTAGAAACAAAACCGAACTTACTGAGAACCAGGCTCAATTGCACAATGTGTTTTCATGTTCGCTATACACAACTCCACAAAAAAAGGATGGCTAAGCCAGACTGTTTTGTCAGACTCACCGAGTCACGAACAGGCTGAACCCCGACAGTCTGCCTAAAATGCATTTGACAGATGGTTAAGAACTCACCACGCCGCCCAGAGTCAGCGCCACCCCTCACAGAGAAAAGCGGTCGACTTTACTCGCACCAAGCTCGCAAACCTGTGTGCGTGTGTGTGTGTTAGAGAGAGAGAGAGAGAGAGAGAGAGAGAGAGAGAGAGAGAGAGAGAGAGAGAGAGAGAG